TGTGTGTGTGTGTGTGTGTGTGTGTGTGTGTGTGTGTGTGTGTGTGAGACCAGGTCTTGCTCTGTTGCTCAGGCCAGAGTGCAGTAGCATGATCATAGCTCACTGCAGCCTCTACCTCCTGGGCTCAAGTGATCCTGGCACCCCTCAGCCTCTCAAGTAGCTGGAACTACAGGCACATGCCACCCTGCCCAGCTATTTTTTGCATTTTTTCGTAGAGACAGGGTTTCACCTAACTTCTCTTCTAGAAGTTAGGTAAGGCAAGGAAATGAATTCTCTCTTAGAGCTTGCAGAAGGATGCAACCCTGCCAACATCTTAATATTAGTCCAATAGGATCAATGTCAGACTTCTGATCTTCAGAATATCAAGATAAGTTTGCATTGTCTGAAGTCACTAAATTTGAGATAATTTGTAACTACAGCAATAGCTGACTAATACAAAAGCTTAGCTGGAGCTCACCCATATCACAACAGTAACCACTGTGACTATTTCATAGCACGCCTTAATAGGTCTGTAAGTACCTGGACACCCCCCATGGAAGTAACTCAACTCAATGAAAACCACTGGAAACACCTGCAATAAACCTTTAACACCCGTAACATGTCAGCTACCACCTAAGATATAAGTGTAACCCTCTCCTTGTCTAAAAATACACACAGGCAACTTATCTAGAGGACCCATATGTCTCTCTTTGTCTCAATCAGTCCTAGTTTTCACTTGACCCATGTATAAATATTCTTCTTGTCTTTTTTTTTTTTTGAGATGGGGTCTCACTTTGTCACCCAGGCTGGAGTGCAGTGGCATGACCTCACCTCACTGCAACCTCTGCCTCCTGGATTTAAGCCATTCTCCTGCCTTAACCTCCCAAGTAGCTGGGACTAAAGGCATGCACCACTATACCCGGCTAAGTTTTATATTTTTAGTAGAGACAGGGTTTCACCATGTTGGCAAGGCTGGTCTCAAACTCCTAACCTCAAGTGATCTGCCTGTCTTGGCCTCCCAAAGATTATAGACATGAGCCACTATGCCCGGTCTGTTCTTTTTAACAAAACAAAACAAGGTCTCCTTCTGTTGTCCAGGTTGGATTGCAGTGGTGCAATCACGTTCACTGCAGCCTCCAACTCCTGGTCTTGAGCCATCCTCCCACCTCAGCCTCCTGAGCAGCTGGGACAAGTGAATGCCACCATGCCCTGCTAATTTTTAAATTTTTTTTGTAGAGACAAGGTCTTGCTATGTTGTTGCCTAGGCTCAAACTCCTGGCCTCAAGCTATTCTCTGGCCTCAGCCTCCCAACGTGCAGGGATTATAGGCATGAGCCATCCCAGCCAGCCAACTTCAGCAGTTCTAAACCCAGGTGGAGGGACTTATTTTAGAGCCGACCAGGAGAGGTGGAAGTGAAGCCGGAAGTTGGAGCAGATAAGGGACAAAGGCAGGAAGTAGGAGGTGCTAACGCATGCGTGCTCGACAGCCTATCTGTTCATGGGATGAGATGGAGGGTTGGGGAGCAGGGTCCGAAGGGTCTCTGATATTTGGAATTATAGTGCCAGGAAAGCAAACAAGAGCCCCTGAAAAGAAACAAGCAGAAGGTTGGTGATTGCACAACAAGGGGTCTCCAGAGATGTCGTCAGACAGATGGAGAAGGCTGGCGGGAGAGGAAGTGCAGGTGGGTAGCTGGGGGTGGGAGGGCGAGTCTCCAGCAAACAAGCGGCACTTCCGTTCACGCAATCATTTTCTCACCCACAAATGTTTCTTGAGCACTTATTTGATGCCAGGACCTGAAGTTCTAACAAAATACAAGGTCAGGGTCGCTTGACACAGAAAGTGGAAAAACCTAAGGCTGAAGGAAAGCAGCCTTCCACCAGCACGTGTGGACTGGATGAGCCTGTTTCTGTGAAGTTCTAGGGTGGGAAAAAAAGTGCAAACGGTGGTTGCCCAGGAGCAGAGATAGGGAGTGCCTGGGAAGGGCCGCGAAGGACTTTCTGGGTGATGTTCTGCATGTGGGTGGGCGTTTGGATGACACAGACCAACGCATTCGTCAGCGCTTGAAGGAGACACACTTGAGATTCCTGTGTTTCATTTGAAGCAACTATTTACTTAATTTATTTTTTATCCACAAATAAAAATGTGTGTATGTATAGTATACATATAATTGCGTATACATAGATATAGTGTAAATTGTATACACTATATATATTCACACAATATACATAAATGTATGTATATATTACATTATACATTATATAATATATGCAATAATATATAATATGTGATATATTTTAATATATAATTATATGTAATGATGTAGCATATATATTAATCTTATTAATTATATATTTATATATTATATAATTATATTTTAATTATACAAAGCATAATATAAATTATATACATATTAATAACACATGTAATATAATACATAATATATACATAATATATTATGTATATTATTGTTATATATAATATATATTATATATTATATATTTTTATGATATATTTAATTATACAAAGCATA